AGTTGTTACATGTATTTTTTTACACTTTTTACCATTTTTTACACTTTTTTTTAAATGTATTTAATTATATCAAGCAATCATTGTTAACTAATCTCACTTATTACTGCTTGATAAATTAATCAATTAATTTTTGGCTATTAGGCTGCTTCAAACTTCAGATCAGCCAATAATAACGTTAGTGACACTGATCCTGCAGCAGTTCAGGATCAGCTGCCACTAAAGGCCTTGTTCACACCAAATGCAGACCAGATCTGCATGAGTTTCTGCACACGCAGTGCAGTGGGTTGTGCCATGTTTTTGGAGCGTTTTTGATGCGTTCCGGGTCGTTTTTGGTTAAAAAAAAATGTTTAAAATGGGCTTTCAGTGCGTTCCAGGGCGTTTGCATGCGCTTTTGGTGCGTTTGCATGCGCTCCAGAGTGTTCCAGAGCAGGTAAAATAGGGCCTGCTGCAGTTTTTTTACCTGCTCTGGACCTGTTCTGGAACAGAATGCTGCGATGTGAAAATACCATTGGAATACATTGGACGCAGTTTTGCTCCGGTCTGTAACTGCACTGCTCTGCTCCTGGAACGCGCTTGGGGTGAACAAGGCCAGGTTTTCTGATCGTTAGAACAACGATCTGAAAACTGAAACATTGTTTCAGGAATAGAAACATTATGTTTCCATTCTTGAAAGTAGAAAAAAAAAGCCGGTATACCATCGGGATTCCTGATCTATACAAGCTGTCAGAATGCCGGCAAGAGTCGCCGAATGTGGCTCTGCTCTCACCCTTCAGGAATCGGGTGTCTGAAAAATGTTAACTCTTTCATTCTCAGCGGTTACCAGCCTTGTAGAGCAGCATATAACTTGTCACTTACAGTGTACGTGACAAGCCATTTGGTCCCTTTGTGGCGGGACGTACAGTGTACGTCTCCCGTCATGAAGGGGTTAAATGACTTTTTCATTTTTATTGTTTCCCATTAAGTGATGTTAAAATCACTGATCCTTTTAAAACTGTATTTTTTAAAAAGTTTTCTTTTGCATTGATACATGTCCCCCAGGGCAGTACCCGGATCCCCGTACACTTTTTATGGCCAATAACTTGCATATAAGCCTTCAAAAAGGGGACAATTCATTTTCAAAGTTCTGGTCCCATAGACTTGCATTGAGTTCGAGTTCAAACTTTTTTTCACGTTCTAAAGTTCGTATTCCAACCAAACTCGTGTCTGTTAGGCCCATCACTAATGATCACCACTGATGTTACTGAAATATCATCCGTGACCACATGTACACATAATCCTGGACGCTTTGTGTTTCTGACCATAACTAAAATATTTCAGTATGGTCTATCCCACCTTCTCTTCACTGCAGGGGTAGCAGTTAGCCTCTGTTAAAATGCGATGTCTCTTGGCTCCTCATGGAATGGATACAATAATGCTCAGATATGAAAAAGGATGGCATACAGCGTAACCCCCGTGTTTATTTAAAATATATGCATAAAACTACTCACATCATAATCCAATGATGTAAAAAGCTTCAACAGATACAAAAACACCTTGTTCCAGGTGTCCCAAATATGGAAGGTATAGCAAGCTGGGCCGTCCACAAACCAAGCGCACCTTTTCCATTCGGTGTCATTTTTACAAGCATTAGACATCCAGCATTGCCAGTGAACAATAGTGTGCTGTAGTCTTAGCTTGTTTTCAGTTTTGTCACTAATGCCAAGTTGAACTCTTGTATTACAATTACATAATTAATGAATTTAACTTGACATTAGCAGTACAGCTATTAACAGTACAGCTATGAGTGCCAAAATCAACTGATTGGTACACGCACAAAACATGTTCATATTTTCCATTAATGCACCTTCACACCTCAGACCAACCCCTTGTACATGAATGTTCATGCATCAGATTAGCCCCAATGCATGCACCTTCATACCTCATATAGGACCCAATGCATGCACTTCACACTTCAGATCAGACCCAATGCATGAACCTTCACACCTCATATAAGACCCAATGCATGCACCTCAGACCAGGCCCAATGCACGAACCTTCGCACCTCAGATTAACCCCAATGCATGAACCTGCACACCTCAGGTCAAGGAAGGTTGAATGTTCTGCGCTATGAAACAGACCCGAAGGGGGAGATTTCACAGAAAGTAAGGGTTAACCGCAAGCTGCTGAAACTAAGGCCAGATAAGCCTCACAAAATGGGTTTAGAATAGTGAGCGCTATGGGTCTCCTGGAGTGAAGTGAGAATCTAACAATGACTTATTAAATAAGTGGTATAAAAATTATGAATATATAAATATCTCTAAGTGAACATCTTATTATGTGAAATAAAAATTACTGAAGTGATATGTGAATAAACGAAACAAAAATCAACAATGTAAATTGACTAATAAAAATTGCTTAAATATAAATAAATGTGAATAAATAAGTAAATAAATAAATCTTCAATAAACCGTGTGTCTGTAATTTCTTTCTCTGATTTTTTCTGTATTACAGTGTACATATAACTGCGTCTATCATCATCTGTGATGTACTGATAGATGTGCAGTGGTGTATCATAAACGTGTCCTAATCTTTGAGGATAAATAGTGTCCAAAAAGTACTCCAATCTAAAAGGGGCAAAAACTTGAATGTGTATATCCAAGATGATGGTATCCTGGGGGATGATGTGTCGGAGAAGCGATGGGTCCCCGTAGGGCTTACACTCACCAGATGTCGGGAGGGAGTCAGCTTTCTCTTCCACCGTGGTGGCTGAAAGGAGATGGTCTTTGCTCCGTCCTTCCGTGGGATCTTGCAGTATACTTTCGGTCCTGGTCCCAAAAAGAGATGTCGGTATCCCGATAGTAAAAATCCCCTGGTGATGGTAAGATGC